TTCTAGATACCTCAGGAAAACACCGATGCTATTGTCACTAAGGCCATCGATTTGTGGCAGAAATACTGCGGCAACCCAAACCACGCCCCGTAGCTGGATGGATCCAACAGGACCCCCACATCTTCTACTGAACTGAGGCCAAAGTTCATCTGTGGCCTTGTCTGATGAGGATACCAGAAACTTTATTTTTATCTGTTCCAGCTCCCATCTAGGAACATTCCAGACCTTCAAAGGAAGGACAAGTGAAGTTGGAATGAAGGCTGTAAGGAGCTAGCAAACATTTGGGATGTGGATTTAATACTGATGGGGGAAAAAAAACAATGACAAAGACACACAAATGTACAATTTTTTAATAAGTTTCCTTTGTTTAAGAAATGCCATACATTAGACCTCTTCAGAAAATAAACATTTTTGATTTTCAAAGCAGACTGGACGTTTTCCTATTCTTTCAAACCTAAAAAAAATGGTTTTAGTTTGGTTCCAAAAAATGGGAAATCAACCAGTCTGCTATAAAAATACAAAATTGTTATTTTTTGAAGAGGTCTAGCCATACATCATCGAGGACTCACAATAAATTAATATCAACATGCGGTTCTCTGTTTACAAAAGACCATTTGAAAATCCTTTCAGTTTATTTACATCATCTCAGAAGTCTGAGAGTATTTCCTTTCAGGACAGATTCGAACATACAAGAGACAGCAGGAATCCTGACTCTTATACTCTCACACACACAGTTAAATAAATCATTAATAATACAGTCAGAAGTAGAAATTCATGGATTCAGTTTGAGTTGTAAGGTGGCAGATTTCTCATTGTATTCCCATAAAAGGCTTATCCAAGGCAATAACACAGCAGAGTTCAGTGATTGTTGTGTCAATATCTAATATTTAATTTTAAATAGTCATTGGAAATTCAAAAATGATTGTAAACAAAAATGTAGGCACAGTGACACAGCAAATCACTGATCTCTGTAAAATATATAAAAAAAAAATTCTAAGATTTCTTTTGGTTTTTGATAGTGATTTCAGACTAAAATTTTCACTTCAAAAACAATCATAAAAAAGAAAAAACAACACTGTTCTCTTCCTCAAGCTTTGCACAGGTTTCCAATAATCAGGCATGTGGCAAAATAAAATATTTCCTTTTTTTTTTCATCATAAAAATGACAGTTTAAAATCTTTTGAATATCAAGAAGTCATTAAAAATTCCCACTTCGGGAAAACAACAGTTTTTAATTTCTAGGTTTTGTAGCGCCCTCTGTGGAATGTTTGTTTGCTCCCACTGCCCGGATCAAACAGGCTGATACTAATCAACAGTTCAAAGACGGCAGGTCGTGGTCTGAAAACACATCCGAAGAAGAACTGTGCTGACTACGGCCGATGAAATCTGCAGAGGGGAAATAAAAAAAAAATCCAATCTGTTAATGAAATGTATGAAAGCAGCAGGCTGCATATAACTTTTTACCCTCTGTAGCTTACTAGGTTCTCCCTCATAATTAGGCTGTAAGTCACCTGTTCGGATGGGTCTGCCAAAATCTGTCGTTAAAATCTGCTTCTCTATTCTGAAAGAGTTGCTACACTGGAAAAAAAATCAAAATCTAGATAAATAATTTCTTCCTAAAATAAGTACATTTATTTTTGAATTATGACGGTAAAAGAGACATTATACCAAGGGAACAAGAGAGTTTACATTTAGAATAAGAAAAGACAATTTATCTTAATATCTAATTTTAAGATTAAGAGTACTCATTTCATTGGCAAATCATCTCATTTACCTACTCAAATTAAGGGTAAATACACTTAATTTAAGAAAGGTTTACTTTTTTCTAGATCGTTTTTCCAGTGTAGAAAAAAAGTATAACTCCTTTTGTTCAAACTGCCTAAATAAACAGTTTCTGGTTCATTCTGTGGATCTTCAATTACCTCTGATGGTGCTTTCCGCTACCCTGTATATAGGGCTTTTGTTTTTGTGCTTTTAACAGCAACACACACATTTCTAATGTATTTTCCACAAACCATGAATAAAAACTGGTTGCCCACATGTACTTTGGAAATTTGCTTTACATAAACCAAAGAAGGAATTTCAATTGCATGATTTAAGTTATATCAACTGCAACCATTAAACAGGGCCTGTTGTAACTGTGTATGACCTTCAGCTGTTTTGATTATGCCTGTATTAGTGTAGTGACATGGGTGTGTGTGGGTGTAGAAGTGTTATTGTGTAAAGTGGGTGTTTGGGAGGGAGTTTTTCACATTCGTTGAAGTGGTGCAGCACTAAGCACCTAAGAGCTGGAAAGGACGCCAACATCCCAGCACCCCTTCATGGCAAAGGATGCTTTTCCAGCTGCTTCGGCCTCTTATTAAAATACTGATGCCCAGCTATCTGATGTTAACGATCTGTAAAGGAATAGCTGGACTAAGATAAATATGTCAGGGGATATTGCAGAATGCCTATTAGATTTTTTATTTTTATATTTTTTGATAGGGTAGCCTGAAATTTTAAAAAATCTGTTTATCGTTAGTTGAGATATAAAAAGAACAAAGCTTATTAATATAATAATTTAAATTATTTTCAACATCTTACTTATTCCTTAGAAATTGGTTTGTAGTTTAATTTCTTTTTTGCATTTTAAAAAAACTCAACCATTTGTTTTTGACATCGTTTTCTTAAAAAAACAAACCACCAAAAAATAGACCAATAGAATGTATTCTTCCCTACTTTATTTTAGGATGTTTAATTTAGTATTGAAATGAAATAAAAAAAAAAAATTTCTGTATTCCCTATATTATTTTTATATATATATATATATATACTGACTATGATCAACACTGACCATGATTTGAGCTCCTTAAAATAAAACAAAAGAAAAACTAAAGTAAGTAAAAGTGTTCGGAAGAAATATCCGATTAGCCGGCGGATAAATGAACCATGTTTTAAAATTATTATCACATAAGACGGAAATAAATGTTTTAAAACTTCCTGAGTCGTTTACAACATATGATCCCTTTTGTTGTAAAGATTTTATTTGTTTAGCGCCAATATCCTGTTCATGTTCTTCTTAAACACTTTAAATAGTAATATCTCTTTAATAGTAACACATATGAAACAGGAACAATTAAGCCCACTGTCTTCCAGATCCTTATGATTATAAAAAAAAAAATTGAAGTAGATTCCTAAGACTTTAAAAGCCTCTTCCTATTATATTTTTAAGGCAAGGCAAGGCAAATTTATTTGTATAGCACAATTCAGTACAAAGACAATGCAAAGTGCTTTACTTGATTAAAATAAAGGAAGATAAAACAGAATCAAAGCAAGTAGGAAAAAAATAATAAAATAAAAAATGCAGAAACAACAAAAGAATATTAAAAACAGTTGGAAGATTTTGTTAGATTACATTTATTTATTTGATGATTTTTTTTTTTTTTTTCATTTTTTAATGGAGAAGAGGACTTTAGCTAATTTTCCAGTATTTGATTTCTAATTATCTTTAAAGCTGTTAGCATTTGATCAAAAATTTCTAAGGGTTTTATATGTAAATATCTGAGAAAACCTCAGGTGCTCTTTGAACAGTGGTGTATAAAATGTTTTTCAGGTGAGTAAAAATCCTTAGTTTGAAAAATAAAAATGAAAAGAGGAAAGAAAATTAATTTCCTTGTTTTTATGCCTGATCAGTTAACTAAATATGCAGTATTTAAATGAGATTATTTTAGATCTAAAACAATAAAAGGTTCAAATAAGCTTGCATTATTCTGTATTGTGCACCTATATACTAGTCAGGTAAACTCCAATTATTTTAAATTGCAGTCTCAGGTTGCTATAATATGACTACAGTTTGAAAAACTGTTTCTTAGATGCCCCAAAAATGATGGATTATACTGTCTTAAAAAAATACCTTCTCAAAGAACAGAGACCTATGGCACTCTAAAGGAGGAGCTTCATTCTGTAAAGTTAGAGCAACATTGCTGTGCAACTATAATCCTACGGTTTTATCTGCACTGATGATATATGATCCCACTGTAAGTAGTGTAAGTAGTGGTGTCCTTCCTCACCTAAAGCAGAACATAACCGAGCTGTCAGATGTTTCCTGATATTACATTTCAGTTTGGAAGAGGATGGGAAGCTTCATGCTCAGTTGCTTTTGATATTTTACCAGTTAAGCACAGTCAGCAGCTTGATGCTGATCAAGTGAGCAATGAACTGATAAAAGTGATGCGTGGTGTAAAACTGCAGCACCAACCACTGCAGCTCCATTTAGGGGTTTGAGTTTTTATTTCCACCATTTGAACCTCTTCCTTTATTTCACATACCTGGTGAGATGGCGGCTCGACTCATGCACCTCCATCTCTGTGCTTTTAAACTCATTCAGCTCTTTTCTGATGGCAGCCTAAGGAAAACACAAAGTTTAATTAAATAGAGCGCTGTGAAGTATTTTATTCTCCTGGTTCCATTTTTAAAATCAAAATATGGCTTGAAATCATCAAACTAATCATACATTCAGATAAAAAATACAAAAAGCAGTTTAGTTCTAATGGTGGGATTATGTTTAATGGGTAAAAAGCCTATCCAAACCAATCTGGACCATACCTTTATTTGTTAAATTGTAAATCATTTGTGATTACCCGCCCTTTTGGCTGAGCTAAGTCAATTTCAACCATGCCTGAATACTGCCTGACCTGTAAAATTAAACAGTGATTTTAATAGAACCCAACTGAAAAGTTAAAGAAGGCAAAGTGTAACAAAATGATCAGGACAAAGCCCAAAATATACATAAAAATTACATTTTTAGCATCCATCAGTTTGGAAAGGGTTAGAATGCGCTTTGGACTAAAAAAAAACGCAGTGAGAGCCAACAGACACAAATGGAGAAAACATGGAACAGTGTTCAATCTTCACAGGAGCTGCTATCCTCATAGAAAGGATTTACTCCATGAAAACACTGACACCTCAGCCTGAGGCCAATAAAGAACCAACAGTTTGAAACTAAGCTCCTTGATCACATCTCTAGTGTGACTTTAAACATGTTCAATTTTCCTCTAGTGTTTTATGATAAACTGTTCAAGAAATAAGAGTTGGTAAAAACTCCTTAAACCACTTATTGTAAATGGAGGGGTTTGCTGCTAAAGGTTTAACAACCAGATTAATTAAGGAAGCCTTTACTTTTTAACATGGGATCTGGTTCATTTGGATATGTACAATATACTATTTGAACTTAAGTCATCCTTATTTAATATTAAAATTTGCTTTGTTTTGAAGTGTGACAAAAAAACCCATTCATTTCTGTTTTGCGTTTTAAACAGACCTTATCTGCC